GATGTGGTCTCTTAACTGGCATCCTAATCAGTAAGCTAAACGACAACCCCCATAGACACGTTTTTAAAAATAATGTATGATGCAGCCGATAACAGTTGATTATCTGCATATTCCAGATTTGAAAATGTAGCTGAAATTTTTCAGTGTGTACTGAGGAAAATTAACATTTCAAAGATGTTAATGCTTTTGTGAGAGTGTGTGTGTGTGTGTGTTTTAAAAGCAGCTTTACTGTTTTAGGGGACCCACGGAGACCATACCCAACTGATTTGGAGATGAGAAGCGGATTATTAGGTCAGATGAACAATCCTTCTGCTAATGGTGTGAATGGTCACTTACCAGGGGATGCACTTGCAGCGGGCAGACTGCCAGGTACTGTTAACTGGAAGAATGTTTTCCAGCAGATCCAGGTTTTTGTGAGGTAACAATGATGGGATGGCTAACTGTTAAATAAAAATTTGTGACATTCCAGACCTGTGTCAGTTTAATAGCAAGGTACTCTGCCAGTGTCTCCTGCTCTTTGCTAGAAACCTGTAGATGGTGGTTATGAAATTAGAATGAGCTGCCTTTCTCTCTGTTAGTGTTCTGCCATCCTCCTCAGGCATGGGTATTTCCTCTATTTTTATTGTTGTAAACAGCCTTTTTGCAGTAGTGAAACATGCTATGTAAAGAGAATAAATACATATTTTGTTGACTTGTTTTGATGTATTGAAACTTTTGGAAAGCAAAAAGACATAAAGAGAAAAAATCATCCTTTCTGAGAAGGTCTATTATGTTACTGAATATGATTTGTATGCATCAGTTTTGTTAGCTGCCTAGAGCACAAATTGGCGACCTCGCTGCCTATACTTGTTTTCTGGGATATCGCTTCGTCTTTCTGTGATTGTACTGGCTAATACTTGGGTGCTAGTCAGGAGACAGAAACCACACCAGTCATTTAAACAAGGAAAGCTTACATTCAGGAATAATAGATATGGGAAGCAGCTACTCCATCTAGAAACAAAACAGGGTATCCTAAGAAGGGGCAGACTGGAGGAATGTTCTCTCCACCCCCATCCCATTATCATCACAGAGCTCTCTCCCTGGAGAGGCTGAAGTGTAGCCCTGGCCTACTCCTGGTAGTCAGAGGCCAGAGCTGGCATGCAGGAAATTACCCACTGGGGTTCCGGGGAGACATCCTGGGAAGCCACCATTTGGGATTTTGGAGAAACCTACTGAGAAACCACCCATAGGGATGGTCTTGTACTTGGTCCTGTACACCAGCCAGGCACAGTGGGAATAAAGGCAAAACAACCCACCCAGGAAGGCTGTTCCTCTCAGGGTGTCAGTAGTGCCATCTGCTGGCAAAGAAATGGTTTCAGAGTGCAGGAGGAAGAGTAGATTGGAAGCTAATTGGCATACCTGTAATACTGTAATACTCTCTTCTGGCTCTTCTCAAATTTTACTTCTTTTAGCCTTAAGTTATACCTGTTCATGTGCTCTGTTCTTTTTCTTCAAAAACAATATATGCTCTTAATGTGACATGGGCACTTCATAAGATGTTTCTTATACATATATTGCCAATCAACTTCTCTTTGGTCAGAATGATTTAAAATAGCCGTTTCGCTCTAACAAATTGTTCACATCTATGATATTTCATGTAGTACAGATATTATCTATTTATAATATATTGAATAATATGTGTGGTAATATATAATTATATATAATATATATAATTATATGGGCATATATAATATACATAGAGAAAACATTTCATTTGTAATTGTAAACGTCTTGTAAAACAAAAATTGTCAGCTCACTATTGATTCTTGTAGAAGACTATAATTTTAAAAGAAAATGTCCCTACTAAAACATCACATTTTTCCTTGCTAGTCATAAATTTAATCACTAATTTGACCATATGTGGATTTTTTATTTCTAGCCTAAAAAAAGTACTTCAGATTGTTTGCATAAAGGGAAAAGTAGCTGACAGGCTGATTGATTACGAATAGGACTATTTTTATATCTGCTTTGTTCTTTCTCCAGATGTTCTTGCTCCACAATACCCGTGGCAGTCAAATGATATGTCAATGAATATGTTGCCACCAAATCACAGTAATGACTTTCTGTTGGAACCTCCTGGGCATAATAAAGAAAATGAGGATGATGTAGAGGTCATGTCAACGGACTCTTCAAGCAGTAGTAGTGACTCTGACTGAAAAAAGAAAAATGGAAGACAGCATACAGAATTGAATCCTGTAGAATTCTGTTTCTTAAACAATAGCAGAGAAATGTAAATTGCAGATTTGTAAGGAAGAACCAGGTAAATGTTGTTATGGTGAAATTGTCCAGCCCAGTAAAAACTGAGTGGATTGTCTTCAAAGCCAAAAACCATGGTTTTAGTTCTAATCCACTATGCAGATATTTGAGGATTAGTAAGATTATTCAGTATCAGTGCTGTTTACGCCATTCTGATCTGTTTGTGCTGTATTTGTACAGAAGGTTCTGCATTTGAGGGACATCATCCATTTACATAGCACTTAGGCTTCCTGCAATTAGAAAAGCATTTACAAAGGCAGCAGATTACTGAATGTGTATCTTATTTCAAAGTAAAAATTCTCATTTGAAAATGAAGTTTCGGCATTTGTTCTGTGAACAGGAGACATGGTCTCAGTTTGTACTGTTTGTAATTATTGTAATATTTGTAAATAAATTTACTTTTGTTTGTACTTCGTATGACTTTCTAAAAAATTTAAATGTATCTTCAGTGTAGGTAGAAAAGCATTTCTGCTACCCCGGTTGCATTTTTCAAATCTAAGTGGAATTCCAGAGTGATACTGTCCATAGCTTGAATATATCTAACTGCTGGTAATCACAAATAGTAGGCTTCCCAGAGGCCCATGCTCCTCTTCTTAGAAGTAAAATGTCTCTTTAATAACTGGAAAAATTGGGGGCCATTGCTGTGGTAGAGCAAGTAGAGCTGCTGCCTGTGGCACCGGCATCCCATATGGATGCCACTTTGAATCCTGGCTGCTCCACCTCTGATCCAGCTCCCTGCTGATGTTCCTCGGGAAAGGCAGGGCAACAAAGGATCGCCCAAGTGCTTGGGCCTCTAGACACATGTGGGAGACCTGGAAGTGGCTCTTGGCTTTGGCCTGGCCCTGTCCCCCTGCTTTATGTTTTAATTATTTGTGATCTCTGTAACCTTGAATAGGCCTCAGCTTCCCCCCTACCTTTGGAATATTTTTTTATCTCTAGAAAAATTGGAAAATAGATTTAAAGAAGAAATTAATCATCTCAATTCTGCCATTTAGAATTAAAGACATGTAATGTTTAAATGTCTTTCTCTCTAGGCTTACATTTGAGAATGGAATACTACATCTAACTTTAAAATTTGCCTTGTTTTTATAGTACTGCAAATATTTTTCTGTGTGGATGATTTACTGTAATGGCTACTGTCCCATTCTGTGGCTGTGCCATAATGTAACTGCTTTTTATTACTGGATACCTAGGATTTCTGGCTTCTTTTCCTTTACAATACTGTGATTATGAGATATAAATATATATGAAGCCATACACATATATGCTGCCCTTTTAAAAGATTTATTTATTTGAAAAGACAAAAAATGATCTTAATCTGCTGCTTTGCTCTCCAAAAGGCCACAACAGCAGTGCTGGGCCAGGCTGAGTCCAGGAACTTGGAACTCAATCTGGGTCTCCCACATGGGTGGCAGAGGACCAAGTAATTGGACCATCATCTGCTTTCCCCGGAATAGTAGCAGGAGGGTGGATTGGAAGTGGAGCAGCTGTGATTAGTACCATTGATGCCTGTGTCACAATGGCAGTTAAGCTTGCTGTTGCCACAACACTGGTGTTTTATCACAGTTTTTAGGGTAATTTAAAAAGAGTGTTTATCAGGTTCTTTGATAACAGTTTATTTTTGATCACTACCATAACAGATTACTGTATACTTGTTAGCTTAAACAATGTATGTCAGAAGTCCAAAATGGGTCTCAGGGGCCTACATTCCCTCCTGGAAGTTCTAGGGGAGACTCTTTCCTTCTGTTTTCCATGTTTTAGAGGTTGTCTTGTTCTGGGATTCAGGCCTCCAGTTGTTGAGTTTCTCATTCTGCGTGACAGGCCCTCGTCCACCCTTTGAGGAGCCTGCCGATTATTCTGGGACCACTGGATAATCCACAATAATCTTTTTTATCTTGAAGTCAGTTGAGCAACTTTATTTTCATTACAACTTTTAATTCTTCCTTGCCAGGCAAGTTCCCCCAGCCCCTGCCCCCCATTTTAATATGCCAGGGAATGGAGAAGTTGGAGCTGTCTTCTAAAAGACAGCTTTGAGGCTGCTAGGGTCCAACTCAGGGAGGCACACAGGGAAGGAGTGTGTGGGACCTTACCATGGTGGGCATTTACTGATTCTGTTGCAGACTTGGAGCACAGCAATGAGAGTTAGGCCACCTACACTGTATGTTGCTGGGGCTGCCATACCAAGATCCACAGACTGGGTGGCTTAAACAGCAGAAGCTGATTTTCTCACAGTTTTGGGGAGAAGTCCAAGGTTAAGATGTGGGCAGGGTCAGCTTCTCCTGAGGCCTCTCCGACTTGCAGGCGGCCGTTCTGTCACCCGACCTTTGCCTGGCCTTTGTGCATCCCTGGTGTCTTGTGTGTTTCCTCTTACAGGACACCAGTCAGATTGGAAAAGGTCCCATTTTAACTTAGTCCCCTCTTATGGCTCCATTTCCAAATACAGTCATGTTCTGAAGTACCATGGGTTAGGGTTTCAACATGGGACTTGGTGTAACACCAATCAAATGTCTGTTAATGAAGTGTTTAGTGAGTACCCTAGTGAGATACTTGGTTTTGATTTCATGTAAATGTATACACTAAACATGCAAGTATAACCAATATACTTAAGTATACTCAAGCAAGTGTAACAACATACTTAAACCCATTTTACTGAATTTGGGTAATCATAATTCGGAAGGTATTTCTGTCATACCTCATGTTAACAGTTTTTTTTTTTTTTAAGGTTTATTTATTTGAAAGGCAGAATGACAGAAAGATGGAGACACAGAACTTCCACCTGCTGGTTCACTCCTTAAATGGGCACAGTATCTGGGGCTGGGCCAGGCTGAAGACATAAGCCAGAAATTCCATCCTAGTCTCACACATGAGTGGCAGGGGCCCAAAAACTTGGACTGCTGCTACCTTCCCAGGCACATTAGCAGGGAGCTAGATTGGAAGTGGAGCAGCTGGGACTCAAACAGGCACTCATATGGGGTGCTGGTATTGCAAGCAATAGCTGATAAATCTTCCTCATTATAGTTGTATGGGAAAAAAAATTTAACTGACTTTACATCTTTAAGATTTTTTTATTTACTTGAGAGGCAGAAAGAGATCTTTCATCCAGTGGTTCACTTCCCAAATGGCCACAACGGCCAGAGCTGGGCAGATCCAAAGCCAGGAGCCAGGAGCTGCTTCTGGCTCTCCCACATGAGTGCAAGGGTCCAAGCACTAGGGCTATTTTCACTGCTTTCTCCCTCTCCTCTCCCCGCACCTCCTTGTGCTGCCTTTCAATAAGCCATTGGTTCTAAGTGTATGTCAGAATTTGAAATTTTTGGCCGGCGCCGCGGCTCACTAGGCTAATCCTCCGCCTAGCGGCGCCGGCACACCGGGTTCTAGTCCCGGTTGCCCCTCTTCCAGGCCAGCCCTCTGCTGTGGCCAGGGAGTGCAGTGGAGGATGGCCCAGGTGCTTGGGCCCTGCACCCCATGGGAGACCAGGAAAAGCACCTGGCTCCTGGCTCCTGCCACCGGATCGGCACGGTGCGCCGGTCGCAGCGCGCCGGCCGCGGCGGCCATTGGAGGGTGAACCAACGGCAAAGGAAGACCTTTCTCTCTGTCTCTCTCTCTCACTGTCCACTCTGCCTGTCAAAAAAAAAAAAAAAAAGAATTTGAAATTTTTTTCTTTTGTACTTTAGAGGAGTTACAGTATTTATATACCACATGTGATATTAGTACACCCAGTGAGGTCTGAAGCAGAATGGTATAAGGCAAGCACATTTTTTAGCAGGAGCCAGTGACAGCAGGTTAAGCTGCTGCTTGTGATGCCAGCATTCCTTGTCTGGCAGCCAGTTTGAGTTCTGGCAACTTCACTTCTGATCCAGCTCCCTGCTAATGTGCCTGGAAGGCAGGGGAAGATGCTCAAGTACTTGGGTCCCTGCCACTCAGAAAGGGAGACCTTGATGGAGTTCCAGGTTCTTGGCTCCAGCCTGGCTCTCTTGGCCATTGCAGCCATCTGGGGAGTGAACCAGCAGATGGAAGATCTCTTTTCTCTTTCTGTTCCTCTCTGTGTGCATTCTTCCTTTCAATTAAGTAAATAAAAATCTTTAAAATAATTTTTTCTTTACTAAAGACATGTATATTCTATGACCCAGCCTTTTCACTCCCGGGTTATATCAAACAAAAATAAGTTCACATAAGCACTATGTATAACGTCATAATTACACTGTGTGAGTGAAGTTTATCTAATTCTACTGAATTGATTCCCATTAACATGTACTCATAGCAGTTTTATTTGTAATAGCCCTAAACTGGAAACAACCCAAATGAATATCAGCATTAGATTAGTAAGTTTTGGTGTATTTAAGCAATGGAATACTACACACACTGAAAATAAATGAGCTACAGCTACACAGCACGAATATCTGAAAAACCAATGCTGATTGAAAGTTGTTAGATACAAAAATGCATGTTCTATGATTCTACTTGGAGCAGATTGAACCACGAATTCATCTATGATGAGATGATAGTGGTTACCTTTGGGGGAGGATATTTCGGAGATGCTGGTAAAATGTTGATCCTTCAAGTAGATGTGAATCTTTATAGAGCCCCACTAATGTGGCAGCTGCCGTGCTAGGCATTAAAGAGCCTTCCTCATTTTATTTAGTAGAGCAGATTGCTTAATAAAGACTTCCTAGTTACACTGTTTGCCTATATTGTTAGAGCCCACATGAAATGAACTCTCAGGATAGAATAAGCCACTGAGCTCCTGGTGTTTCCACCATGGTTCCAATGACTGCTCCTGGCTGCTCACTTCTGGCTGTTTGCATCAACCAGCCAGACCCCCATACTCCTCACCTGCGATGGCCCCTGGAGGAAACGGCATGCACAGTAGCTGGTGGGAGGGTCAGCTCTCAGGACCTCACAATACTCCTGTATTCTGACCTCCTGGCCCACTCCATCTCTGGTTCCAAACCCCTTGCTCAACTCCTTACCCCTTTTAATTCTCTCCGGCCCTTGCCCACTGTGACATCCTTTGTTACTGAACTTGTTGGCCACTTCTTATTTCTCCTTCCATTTGAACCAAGTCCTTGGCACTGGCAGAGAGCATCATTAAGGCAGTAGGCCTGCTGCCTACTCAGAAACTGTCCAGGAAATGGAAACTCTCCCATCCTAGGGTTCCTGCACCAATGCTGAGACAAAGCGGGGAAGCAATGTGTGGCTGAGAGCACTTGGTTTATTTTCACAGGTGGCAAGCACAGCAGGGAAACAAAAGGCAGATGTGTGTCCCACAGTTCTCAAACTTGTGAGCTTAATGCATCTCCTTTCATGGACAAGTCAAGCCCTTCCTCATATAATCTGGAAGGCCAAAGTGCACCCAGCTACTCCTTTAAGGCATGCAGAGCCAGAACTTGGCTTATATTTGCTGGATTTCCAACTGTGCTCCTCTCTTGGGGTTGCTAAGAATATCTTACCAAGAATGTCTCTTTCTCTGGATCCCAGGTATCTTGTTGGTGGTGCTTTGTGAGTCAGATTTATCTAATTCTACTGATCTGATAAATCTAAATCCCACTAACAAAGCATCACTTCAGAGTATCTTAAGTACTCATCATCATATAATTATGAATTTGTTTCAAAAAGTTCATGGAAATTATAAAAGATAAGCATTTTAGTGCAAAAATTTTTTTGAAATCTGCACATGAAGGGCCTTCATAAAGTTCATGGAAAATACATATTATGAAAACAGTGTACATGATTTCAACATTTTTTACACCAAAATACATTTTTAATTCCATTTTCCACAAACTTTGAAGTACCCTCATAGGTGCATTTTAAAACAGAATCCACTATAAGGTACATTTCACATACATAACATGCATGTTAATATTTTCCTCTGTAACATAGCAACTTGCCTTTTTCATTCCTTGCCATTAGTAAGTTGGCATTCAAATTTCAGGGTCCCCACCTAGCTGTGGACTGCTTGCACATTTTTAGCCAGGGCATTTCCTCTAGGCTTATTTCACACTCTGGCCCCTCCCTCCCTACACTACCATAGAAAATGTATGTCCACACAAATAACTGGAATGCAGCATTTCTGCTTGTCTCATTCTAGTCCAGGAAAACAGGTAAGAAATACTAGATGGTCATTTTTCAATCATCCAGTATATACTGGGCATTTTGTTTCCAGTCACCACTCTGGCTGCAGGGTACATAATATGAGAGGTCTTCCAAAAGACCTCTTCATTTTTAGGGAGGACAGAATCTACTGCTTCACAGATGCCTCAGAAGTGAATTCAACCCATCAGAAATGTTATGAAGTTATACAAGACGACAAGTGGGTGACGCAGGGAGAATACAACTGTCTCAGTCACATGTCATTTTCAGCCTAGAGCCATACTAATTCAAAAGCCACCGGTGAGTCGAGACACTGAAAACAGTCACCTTGTTTCCATTACTTCGGGTCATGAAGTGAAATATGTCTAAAGTCTGCCTGGGTGAGTCCAGGTGGCTTTTCAGAAGGAACACTTGAACTGAAGTGCTAACAACAGGTAAGGGTGTGGCTGAGGCAGATGCGGGGCTCCTGGGCCAGAGGGCAGAAAACAGCATGGGACTTGAGGAAGCAGAACTACGGAGAGTAGGTGCAGGCAGGTTGTGAGAGCCCTCCTATGTCAAGTTAGGGACTTTATCCCACAGCCAGTGTGGAACTCCTTTATAAAGAAGTCTGGGAAGACAAGAAAGATGATAAAATTTGTGTTTTTGCAAAGTCATTTAGGAATAATTTCAAAAATAAATTGGAGCATTAAGATGAAAGTTTTATGTTATGCATATTTTGCCATAATGAAAAATCAAAATCAGTCAATTAATTGGAGGTTTAAAGCCGCAGTAAGGGCTGGTGTTATGGCACAGCATAAGAAGCAGCCTCTGCCTGCAACCGCTGGTATCTCATAGAAGCATGGGTTCGAGTCCTGGCTGCTTCATCTCTGATCCAGCTCTCTGCTAATGCGTTGGGATGGCAGCAGAAGATGGGAGACCCGGAAAAAACTCCTGGCTCCTGGCTTTGGCCTGGCCTGACCCAGCTCTGGCCATTGCAGCCATTTGGGGAGTGAACTACCAAATGCAGGGTCTCTCTCTCTCTCTCTCTCTGCCTCTGCCTCTCTCTGTAACTCTGCCTTTCAAATAAATAAATGTTTTTTAAAAAACTAATCAAGCAATATCATTATGCAGAAAGTCAAATATTTAAAACATGTTAAGTGAAAAAATAAGGTAAATCTGGAATAGGAATTTGGTATAAAGAAGTATGGTAGAATTAATTTATGCTATAACAGAAGTTGACACAAAGTTTATGTGAAAAATCTTTGGAGAAGCTTAAGTTCAGACAACATTTTCATTTGATTTTGAGGTACATAAAATGAAGTCATAATACATATTTCCCCAATTTTAATAAAAATTGCACTTTTAATAAAAACACAATGAACTGTCTCAATTCTCTTAGCCTAGCGTTTCAGGTAGAAGCCTGGAAAATGTTCCCTACTGGCCTGTCCTGTTCTCTCTAGCTGCAAAGACTGTCACAATATATTACCAAAAAACCATTTTTTAAATCAAAGCAGACAATCAACAAACATGATAAACCCTACAACAGGCATACCATGTCTGAAACTGAACTACGGTATTTGCATCGAGATTTCTGTTTGAACTCAAACACTATGGCACATTCTGCTGCCCCTATTCCATGTGTGCTGGCAGTAACAACCTGCAGAGTAAATATCACAGAGACACAGGGAAGGCCGATTAACCGCCCTATGTCTGCTTGTCATATCCTCTGTGTCTGAAATACAGTCCAGTGACACATTCCTGGGAGACTTCTCAGGTGCTGACTGAAAGGGAGGTGGGTATGTTAAGCACTGCCAATACCTGGCAATCATATGCAACGTTTTAGATACAGTACAGTCGTTTTGAAGTGTAGGTATTTTTTCATCCCCTAACAGATCTTATTTTTGTCTTTTTAGGGGAAAAAAACCTCAGGAACTCTTCTTGTCACTTAGAGATGATTTCCTTTGTATCCTACCAGATGGTCCAAATCTTCTTTGAATGGATCATAGCCTTGCTCCTTCAAACAGCGCAGTGCCCAGAAAAGCTGATCTGGTGGAGGAAATTCTTCCCAAGGAACCCACTGCCAGCCTGGAAAAGAAACGGTCCAAATCAATTAACTGAGCTAACAGGAAGCAAAAGGTACTTACTGTGGTGAGCTCGCCCAGATTTAGAAAAAAGTAACTGAATTTAAATGGGTTGTGTACTGATAAGATGAGTTGCGTGGCCGTGTGAGTTCCAACTTGCATTTAGGATGACTACTTCCAGGGGACGGTGACTACTTAAACGCTGCGTTGTGTGAATATGAAGCCGTATTCACAGAGGTCACGCTGGCGAAACCCAGCCCAAAACTTATTCAATGTTTGGGATTTGTCCAGAAATCTCCAGGTTGTCTGTGCACCCACCCATTTAATGTCTACAACCACCCACCTGAGGTGGTTGCTGCTCTCACAGCTGAGGAAGGGGGCCCAGGCATTGCACAACATGCCCAGGGCTCTGGAGCTCTAAGTGGAAGAACCAGGAGCAAACCCAGCGGTCCGGTTGCTGATACCCCTCTGGATTCAAGCCTACTTGGATATGTCTATTGCCTTGGTCTGCTGAGGCTGCTGGAACAGACTGGCATTTATTAGGACAATGAGAGACCTCCAAAGCGATTTTTCTCACAGTTCTAGAGGGTGTGACTCCAAGAAGAAAAACTGGAAGACCTGGTGTCTACCGGGGGCCTGTTTCCAGGTTCATGGATTGCAAGCTTCCCTCTGTGTCCTCATGTGGCAGCGGTCTCTCTGTTAAGAGCACTAACCCCATTCATGAGGTTTCTGCCCTCAGAACCGTTATCACCTCCCAATGCCCCCACCCACCAATACTATCCCCTGGGAGGCTAGGATTTCAACAGAGGAATTCTGGGGGGGACACAAACATCCAGATCGTCACATAAGCAAAGAGAATCTAATTTTTTTTGTAGGGCAGCACAAGGTACCATTCCTAGCAAGAGGCTCTCCCCAAAGAGAAATGCATTGTTACAGACAGTTCTCTTACTTTCATTCTTTTCAGGTTCTACATTCTTTGGTTCTGAATCCTGAGTCACGTCCACCTCTCCTTTCATCAGTATAGTCACATAATGGTAATTTTCTTTTTCAACGAAAGAGTTCACGACCGAGGCAAAGCGAACATTGTTCAGGTGAAGGGCAGCTTCTTCCCAGGTTTCCCTCTGAGCGCATTCTTCCCAGGTCTCACTAAAAACCAGAAACACATCAGTGTATTTAAGTCTATTCATATAATTTTTTTTGGCCATGAAATTCTTGGGTAGGAATTTTGAGGATAAAGCAAAAAGAACTATAACTAGTTCATCCCTTAAAAAAAAAAACAGATTTGTTTATTTATTTGAAAGAGTTACAGAGAGGCAGAGAGAGAGAGAGAGAGGTCTTTCATTCGTTGATTCACTCCTGAGATGGCTGCAACAGCTGTAGCTGCACCGATCTGAAGCCAGGAGCCAGGAGCTTTTTCTGGGTCTGCCACATGCAGGGACGTGGGCCATCCTCCACTGCTTTCCCAGGCCATAGCAGAGAGCTGGATTGGAAGTGGAGCAGCTGGGTCTCGAACCGGTGCCCATATGGATGCCAGCACTGCAGGTGATGGCTTTACTCACTACACCACAGCCCACTGCCCACAGCGCCAGCACCGGTGCAAAATATTTTGAAATCCATGCACGTAAGGGGTTTTTTAAAAGTTCAAGGGAAATTTGTATTACAAAAGAACTACATGGATTTCACTTTTTTGAACCAAAATAAACTTTAAAAAATTATTTATTTATTTGAAAGATTTATGGGGCTTCGGGGGTGGAGGGAGAGAGAAAGAGAGAAAGAGAGAAAGAGAGAAAGAGAGAGAGAGAGAGAGAGAGAGAATCTTCTATTTGATGGTTCACTCCCCAGACAGCCACATCAGCTGGGGCTGGGCCAGGCTAAAGGCAGAAGCCAGGAGCTTCTTTTGCGTCTCCAATGTGGTATTTGAGCCTTCCTCCATTGCTTTTCTCAGACCATTAGCAGAGAGTGGGATTGAAAGTGGAGCAGCCAAGACTCGAACTGGCGCCCATATGGGATGCTGGCATCACAGGTGGCAATTTAGTCTGCTATGTCACAATACTGGCCCCAAATAAATTTATCCTTTAATTCCACTTTTCATGAACTTTTAGAATACCTTCATACAATCTAGCACTTAGTAAAAACCTCATTAAAGTTCATTGGCTATGATCATTTGATATCTATGTCAAGACTTTATTACTTTCTTGTGTTATTAAGATAGCTATCTCTAGCCATTACTCTTGTAATTTATACATTTAACTGCTGCAACCACCAATCAACAAAATAAAATATGTATAGCTATCTGGACAATTTGGTTGTTAATCAAGAAACTTTATCAATTATAAACTGGCAGTTTATACTGATGTGAAAATGATAAATTTATTGATGCTTTTATAACTTCCAAAACCATTAAAAAAATTCACATGCTAAAAGCTCATAAGAATTCCATAGTTTATAAAAGGCAAAATCCAAGGGCCAGCACTATGGTGTAGCAGGTAAAGCCACCACCTACAGTGTTGGCGTCCCATCTGGGCTCTGGTTCAAGTCGTGGCTGCTCTACTTCTGATCCAGCTCTCTGCTATATCCTGGGAAAGCAGTAGAAGATGGCCCATGTCCTTGGGCCCCTATACCTGTGTGGGAGACCCAGAAGAAGCTCCTGGCTCCTGGCTTCAGATTAGCTCAGCTCTGGCTGTTGCAGCCAACTGGGGAGTGAACCAGCGGATGGAAGACCTCTCTCTTTGTCTCTCTCTGCCTCTCCTAATCTCTGTGTAACTCTGACTTTCAAGTAAATAAATATATCTTTAAAAAAAAGGGGGGGGGCAAAATCTGATCAAAAGGCATTTAGAATCAAGCCTCTAACTTTGACTATCAATAAGAAACATGTGTATTAGAAGAATATAGTGATAATGTGAAATTGTTCAGGACAAATGACAACGTTCTTCAACAAATAAACAGCATAGGAAAAAAGGGGATGAAAAGCTTATAAACTTATCAGTCAAATACAATATGTGCCCTTCCTTTGATCCTGATTGGTACAAAACAGTAAAGACATTTTCCAGTTTCACTAATTGTGGCAAATAGTACAGACAGGATATCAGATGATACTAAAGAATTTTGGGAAGCGGTGGGCATTTGGTGCAGTGGTTATACATCCCTGCTTCTCCCAGATTGTCTGCTGGGCTACTCTGCTTCCGATGTGGCTTCCTGCTACTGTTCACCCTGGGAGGCAGCAGCTGATGGATCAATTACTTGGGCCCCTGCCACTTACATGGGAGTGGATGGAGAGGACTAATTTAAAAAGTCAAGTCCAGGCCGGTGATGTGGCACAGTGGGTTTAAGCCCTGGCCTGAAGTGCAGGCATCCCATATGGGTGCCAGTTCTAGTCCTGGCTGCTCCTCTTCTCATCCAGCTCTCTGCTGTGGCCTGGGAAAGCAGTAGAAGATGGCCCAACCATTTGGGACCCTGCACCCATGTGGGAGACCTAGAAGAAGCTCCTGGCTCCTGGCTTCGGATCAGCACAGCTCTGGCCGTTGTGGCCATCTTGGGAGTCAACCAGTGGATGGAAGATCTCTCTCTCTGTCTCTACCTCTCTCTGTAACTCTTTCAAATGAATAAAATAAATCTTAAAAAAAAAATTAAAAGTAAGTCTACTAGAAATACTAATTAGTGAAGATGGAAGTCTGCGATTTCCTTTAAAATTCTTAGAATAAGGTGCGCATGTGTGTGTGTCTGTGTTTTGGAGGGGAGGATGAAGCAGTCTGATGCAATGAGAACAAGCTCTGAGTGTGGGGCCCGAGGAGTCACCGCTTCCTCCACTTTCAGGTACATGTGAACGTTTAAATACGAAAGGAAGAACGCTCAGTCTGGATGCTTTTAGATGCTGATGTTGATTTTAGCCTTGTTCTCATTCCAGAATCCATTTCCTAGCACAAGGCCCGGCTCTCTTCACTAAATCTTAACTGTCCAGCTCCCTTTGTGGTCTGATGTATGATCAAACCAGAGTGCCAAGGCACAAACGAATCTTAAAAGAGTATTTTGCCCATTCTCCATTTTCAGAATGTATCAATGGGGGCCCGCTGAGTTTCACTAGCCTGCTTGCTGGGCTAAGAGTGCAACACACATTACACAGCCAGGACATCGGTGTGCATCCAAGTCCCAGGGAAACCTGCAAGTGGCTGACAGCACGGACTATTTGAGGTGCCACTTTCCGGCACTAAGGAAAAACACATCTCAGAAACCAACTCCTGGTTGAAGTGAAGCGCGGACAAATCCCACAGGGCAGCGGGAAATGCTTCCTTACCCAGCACAGCGCCCTCTCCCGGTCGAGGGAAGGAACCGCGGGACCGCGAGAGGAAAGACGCAGCGCCGGCGCGGACGCGCCCACGCACGGCGCACGGACGCACGAGCGCTGCGAGCTTCTCTTTCGGGCGCGTGTTCTGTGTGTCCCGGGGTTGGCCACTCGGTTGCTCACCCGAACTCCAGATGACCCCCAGGAAGCTGGAAACTGCCGGCTCCAAACGACCCTTTCCTCTTGCCCAGGAGGACGCATCGAGGATGCCGGCTGCTGGTCACCACTACGCCTACCCCGACCCCGGGCCGCTGCCCTCGCGGCTCCGCGATGGCCTTCATGGCGCGCGCAGGAGCGGCCGGCCGCGGCAGGAAGTGACGTGTGCCGCGCGCCGCCCCGAGCGCTGCCCGAGCGCTGCCCGAGCCGGCGCGGGCGCCCGGGGGCACATCGAGAAGCTGCTCGGCTTTGCCTGCTGGGGCGCGGTGCCGCTGCCTCGCGGCTTGTGAAGCGTGGTGCCTCTTCCGAAGACGGCGTGCCGAGCAGGGCCGCTTGCTGTTGCGCCTTAAACAGTATACCACTTTCCCACAGGTCTTTCGAAGCCCCCGGGTTTACCAAGGCTTTGCGCCTCCTTTAAAAACCCTTCTGTAGGGCCTTGAAGCGTTTCTTTTTTTGCCCCCGAATGGAACCGTCCTTGGGCCCCCCGGTGAAGCTTCATTTCGTACCTGGAGGCTTCAAAATTCGGGTGAAGGGTCCCCAGAGGGCCAGGGACAAATCCTATAGAAACATCCCAGTGTTTAAAACTATGATTAGAGCTTACAGACAGCTTTAGGGACGAAATAAGGAGCTGTCCGTAGATTGTGTCGGCACGAGTTAGTTACCGGTTTGAGAAGAAAGATTATTTTTAGGTGTTGGCACACCGTGCACCAAGTAGAATTTAAAAATAAAACACAAAGCCCAGCTGACTGTACGAGTTTCAAGTAAAATTAAGAACAAAGGACTAGTTTCCGGATGGGGAGGATTGACTGTGTTAGAATAAGAATTAATTTTTACTTGTACCCTAGTAATACGCACATAATTTGGAAAGTCAAATGGTAAAGAACTTCATTAAGAATAACCCTACCGAGACTGGCAGTGAGCACAGCAGTTAAGACTCCCCCGTTTAGCATGGGAGTTTCTGGATTCGCTGCAGGCTCTGGCGCCTGACTCCCGTGTCTTGCTATGGTAGACCCTGGGAGGCAGATAATGGCTAAGTCGTTGGGTTCTTCGTACCCACCTTTGAGACCTGGGTGGAGTGTCCAACTCCCCTCTTGGGGTCTTTGGGAGCAGCAGATGTGAACGCTAACGCTCACTCACTATCGACTTCTGTTACTCTTTCAAATACACAAGAGTTCCACATTCTAGCCTTGCTTCTAGAGTTAATTGCTTGTAACTCTTTGAACTGTTATTTCTGAAATTTACATTCAGATTTCTAAGTAATTTGTTTATTCTGCATGTTAGCAGTTCTAATATTTTTGGTAGTGTATATCTATATCTATATCTATCTATCTATATCTATCTATCTATACAATCATGTCTACAAACAGGTAATTTGGTCTCCTTCCCCTTCCTGTTCTGATGCACTTTATTTTTTTCTCTTCTCTAGTTGCTGTGGCTAAGCTTGCTGATACCATATTGAATAAGAGTGGTGACAGTGAACAGCCTTGTCCTGTTCCTGATCTTAGAGGAAATGGTTTCAACTTTTGCTTATTCATTAATGATGTAGGCTGTGAGTTGGCCATATATAGCCTTTGTTGTGTTAAGGTTACATACCTTCTATACCTAATTTGAAGTTTTCTTTTAAAACCAGGAAGGGATATTGAATTTTATCGAATGCCTTTTTTGCATCTATTAAGATGATCTTACACTTTTTATCCTCATTTAGTTGATGTGATGTATTTATGTATTGAGCGTATGTTGAACTATTCTTGCGTCCCTGGGATAAATATCATTTGACCATGGTGTATAATCTTTTTTATGTGCTTTGGGTTCAATTTATTAATATTGTTGAGAATTTTTCTACCTATGTTCATCAGGGACATTTATCTATAGTTTTCTTTTGCTCTCAGGGCTTTGGTATCAGGGTAAGGCTTGCCTCACAGAATAAGTTTGGATGGGTTCCTGCCGTTTGAATATTAGAATAGTTTGAGAAGAATTGGTGTTACTTATTCTGTAAGAAGTTGGTAGAATTCAGCAATGAGATCATTTGGTCCTGGGCTTTACTTTGCTGGGAGACTTTGTATTACTGATTCAACCTTGTTATTTGTTGTTGGTCTGCTCAGGATTTCTCTGTCCTCGTGGTTCAATTTTGGCATATTATATGTGTCTAGAAATTTATCCATTTCTTTTGCATTTTCTAGTTTGTTGGTGAGGCTGTTTGTAATAGTTTGTAATGATTTCTGTAGTATTGGTTGTAATGTCTCCTCTAGTCCTTCTTATATGGGGCCTTCAAAAAGTTTATGGAAAATTATAAAAAAGACATATATTTCAACATTTTTTGCACTTTTAATTCCATTCTTCCATGAGCTTTTTGAATTGCTTTTGTGTTCTTAAGGAAGAGTATATTGCCTTAATGTTAGAAATGAAATATTACATTGGTCTAATTCTTTGCATTCCTTCTATAACCAAGGCTAATTTGCATCCTGCCCTAAATTAACATATTAGTTAAATATTAGCTTGTGATAGACAGAAGGAACTATTAGCCACATTTCCTTTTTTTTTTTTTTTTTTTTGCTACTCTGCCCTTTGGGAAGTGGAGTTTAATTTCCCTGCCTTTGAATCTGGGTTTCTTTTAGTGATACTCTTGGCCAACAGAATGTTACAGAAGTAATAAGATGTGATTTGTAAGGCTGGTTCATAAGAATCCTTATAGGTTTTCCCTCGTCTCAGACAACCCTAGGAATCCTGGCACCATGTGAAAAGTTTGATTATCCTACAGCTGTCATATTGTAAGGAAGCTTAAGCTTGCCACCTGGAGAGACCACACAAAGGGAGAGGGTCTCTTGACTATCACCAATTTTCCCAGCTATGCCCACAGTCAGGTATGTGAGTGAAGAAGCAGTTTTTGATGTTTCGACTTAAGCAATTACAAGGGAAAGAACTGAAGACTTGGCTGACAAACTGAATTTAGAGACTGGCTACATAATGTGAGGGACCAAGTGCTAAATGAGGGCCTTGTTAAAATAATTGTTCAGAGCTTCAAGGTGACATCAACAGAGAACCAAACCGGAACAGAGAACTTTTATTGTTGAATCAGCACAGCCATGATGCCACACCTGCTGCAGATATGTGACCTCTTGAAGCTGTAGAAGCAAGCTCAAGTCTTTTGAGTCTCCTCAGGCATTGTAAACCAACATGAATTGTCCCTTCTGTGCCTTTAAAGATAGTGGCAAGGACAGTCTTCCCAGTGGGCAGAGTTTTGGATGTTAACCTGACCATCCATTTTGTGTGAAAGAGAAGTATCCCAAAGGTAGAGTGTACAGTTAGAATGCATATCCAGATGTCTTGGCTCACTGGTGGCCCTGAAAGGAAAAAGGAGGGTTGGAGATAAGGAGACCTGAGCTATGTTGGGTGACAGTTCTCTATGGGCCTCTCATGTTTCTTGGGAGAACAGCAACCTTTGCAAGGGTGGGAACACCACTGTCCATAACATACTATACTCATTGAATCAGAGACCTGTATGTGATGCTGCATCTCTAGTGTGAGGAACTTATACCCAGTGACATACCAGGAGACTGTCTTTCTATTCCCAAAACTCTGGGCTCTCCCTGATTCCCAAAGGGGTGTACTCTCACATGGAGACATTCGAAAGCATTGTAGTGAATGAGAACCATAACAGCCTCCTGGGCACTTCGGTTTCCTTATGTCTAGGGACCAGTTGGTAACTAAGTGAGTCCTATTATTGCCAAGAGTATTCTCTGACCCACTTAGGAGGTGAGTTTGATGTCATACAAAATGAGCAGGAAGGAATATGTATGGAATTCAGCTGACCCACTGCAATACCTCTTTTTTTGTTTTTTAAAGATTTATTTATTTGAAAGTCAGAGTTACACACACACACAGAGAAGGAGAGGCACAGAGAGAGAGAGAGAGAGATCTTCCATCTGCTTGTTCACTCCCCAGTTGGCTGCAATGGCCAGCCTGCACTGATCTGCAGCCAGGTGCCAAGAGCTTCCTCCGAGTCTCCCAGACAGGTGCAGGGGCCCAAGGGCTTGGGCCATCTTCTACTGCTTTCCCAGGCTATAACAGAGAATTGGATTGGAAGTAGAGCAGCTGGGACTCAAACCAGCACCCATATGGGATGCTGGAGTGGCAGGTGGCAGCTTTACCCACTACGCCACAGCACTGGCCCCTCCAAACCTCTTGATATTTTCCTTGCACACCTGTGTTAAGAATGGGTAAGTATGGCAAACCTAATCAGAGAAGGATATGGTTACCAGGTTAGACCCTCAGGGTATGAAGGTTTGGCTCATAATACAAGATAAACTACCAAGGCCATCTCAGGTCATTCATGAAGGTGAGAGAAATTTAAAGTTAATAGTGAGGAAAGGAGACCTGAAGAACCAGTTGTGGCCCTGAGACCGGTGACATTGATGGGAGCTAAAGTTCACCATTCCAGCTTCCACCTATTAAGATTCCTCACAGGAAGAGAGACCTATTTGAGTTTTAGATGTGCTGCCCCCCATACCTGTTTAGAGAAATGGATTCACACTGAACGGGAGGACTCTACAGAGATGAAAATCCACTGTGAAGCAAGGGTTCCTTACATGTATACTCACTTTCACATACTCTACATAGTCCTAGCCAGAATAATTTGGCAAGAAAAAAGCAAAACAAATGAAAGGCATTCAAACTAGAAAGGAAGAAGTAAAATTCTCTGTGTTTTCAGATTTCATTTTCTTCTGCATAAAAAGGCCTTAAGATTTCACCCAAGAGAAAAAACTGTTTCAACTATAAATTTTTAAGTCAGCAGATAAAAAATTAATATCCAAAAATCAGTTGCATGCCTATCCAATAATAATTAATAACCTGAAAAGGAAATTAAGAAAACAACTCTGTTTGTAATAGAATGAAAAAGAATACAATACTTAGGGATTAACCAAGGAGATGAAAGAATTGTGCACTGAAAACTACAGTGTTACTGAAAAAAAATAAAGACACGAATGAAAAGGCATGTTATCTTAATGGATTGGAAGACTTAATATTGCTAAGCTGCCGATGTTGTCCAAAGTAATTCCAGATTCAGTATAATCCCAATCAAAATCCCAATGACAGTTTTTTCAGAAATAGAAAAATATACTTTAAAATTTTTACAGAATCTCAAGGAACCACAA